GTCATAGTTGGGTGTTTAGGCTTCCATCGGAAGAAATACGTTAATGAGAAAGGAGGGTCCCACTGACGATTAAATTGTTTATTGTCCTTAAGCTTAGCAGAAGGCTGTCCTCATTCACATTGTCAGTGTCGTGACGTCGGGGTATGTCTGGTCATAAGCTGTGCTCGGCGCCCACCCTTCACGTTGAGGTTGCCTGTGGCAATTCACGGCGAAACAAAGTGCTAACTTCCGACTTCAGTCAATAGTAGAAAGCGTCCTTATCGCTGTCACTTTGACGCATCCTTCCCCGGGAGACGGGCTTCCCTGACCGATAGTATATTGAAGTTTTACCGATGTCTGCACGACAGGGATTGTCTAACTTCGGTCAAACAAGGAACGAACGTTGCAGTGTGCAACACGAAACTTGTCTCTTGTATTGTTCATTGTTCTGTGGAGTACGCACATAATATTGTCATGCTGCGTAGTATAGGATGCGGGCTCTGTCACCTGGCGCGTCTTGCGCATACAACTCAGCTGTGAAAGACTATCCTTACCGTAACGCCCGAAAGTCAAAGTTCATAAGGAACCCATACGGCACAGGTAATTTGTATGTGGAACAAGGAGATAAAGCCCTTCAGGAGGTTGACCAGTTTAAGTATCTCGGTTTTGTCAGCAGTGGCACTATCCAGTTAGAGTTAAATAAGAAGATAGTCCAAGCCTCGAGAGCTTTTGAAAACTTGTTAAATTTTTCGACTGAGAAAGAAATTTTTTCTACAAAAATCTGCTTGTTCTTGCCTCTGGTTTTACGGCATAGTGATAGTTATTGTAATTAAGAAGCAGGAACGACGGCTGAACTGCGTCCAGAAACGTTGGCATAATGAGGTTTAAACGGCCACGTAAAGAATGACTCTGTTCTCTTCCGGGCATATGTATCCTCCACAGATGTGGAAATTAAGAAAGCGGGATTGGTGTTGTCAGACGAGCAGCTGTAGCATACACCGTTTACGTCAGCCCGCGAGCTTCTCGGTTGGAGCCGAAACATGCAGACACCGTTTAGGAGGCCAGCATGCAACATGGAAGATCAAGTTAGAGGCAGATGTGGTTTCAGAGAGGAATATTTTCTTCTGCTATGCTGATACCGTTGCTTTACGGTTAAGGTGTTGAAAGGTTGCGAACATCACGAATCAGAGACGTTCTTATGCAAACGACGCAAGGTGATGATATCAACAATGATAGCAAGCAGCTTCATATGTTACTAAGGGATCTTCAAACCCAGCTTATTCTAAGCTTCATTGAAGGTTAAGAGATTAGTCAGAAGAACTGTCGCGTAGAAGGCAAGAAGCGCGATGTGTTGGTCCGCATCCAAATCCTTTAAATAGATTCTCAAACACAGTTGATCAGCAGGGTTGTTTATGTTAAGAGGTTCATATAGCTAGCAGAAGAATAT